TTTCTATCGTATGTATCACCCACGAATTCGATTCATATGCGTAGTAAAAACTATTCAATTGTGCAGGAGCCAAAAATGAGCCGTAACGGTATAGCTAGTAAAAGTACCTTCTGATTGAAAAAGACAACACCTGGATAATCGGTAATGGATGTGAATAGGAGCCTAAAAAACCTAAAATTCCCACTATCTCTCCCACATTCGATGAACATTCTTAAACAATTATTTTTTCATCTTATTGTGTGTGTCTAAGTTAATTACCCAAATATTCAATACAAACAGAGAGTAATAAATAGTTCAGTAACGTTATGAGGGTGAAGGCGCATCCAAGGCTATGATTGTCCCAAAACCCTTCTGTGGGGTAGTGAAAGCATGTATAAAGACATCCATAAACTCATGGATGCAAGCCGAATCGATAGATTGGTGGAATAAGCTCCTAGGAATGAGGCAGGCGAAAGATTTCATAAAGAAACCATCGCCCAAATTCACGGAAAACCTGCTAAACCAGAACGGTAAGGTTGTAAGGGTAGTGGTGGGTCTACTGACAGGGCATAGCCGGCTCAGGAAACATATGAGCAACATGGGTCTGACAGAAGAAACCCAATGCAGGTTCTGCCAAGAAGAGGAAGAAACCGCACTTCATGTGCTCTGTGAATACGAAGCGATAGCAAGGCTGAGACACGTAAGATGCGGGGAAGAGAAACCAGAGGATGCGAACTATATGAAGGGGTCAGTGTCAAGACTATGAAATCTCATTAAAGGGATCAAGCTGGACAATGAGCTCTAACAATCAAGGAGCATCACAATAGATCTGAAACGGTCGCAGTGAATCAGGCCATGGACTAGCTCCCCGACAATCTAATCTAATGTAATGTAACGTTACGAGGGAGCCTAAAATGAGTCTAAAATTATTGCATGTTCAGAATTTCCAAAAAATGTGAAGAATTTCGATTGTACCGGAGTATGCATAGCGCATACTGCGACAGGACGGCTCAAGACGGGATCCTACCGGGAGGGAACATGACTTGAACGTCTCGGTTCTCTGTCTATAGATTCTTATGGCGGGGCGCGTACTAAGGCAGGCAAAGGACAGGCACATATGCAGTATCCTGAGGTCAGCACCCAAATATTCAATTTCATCAATGAGCAAAAAGTTGTTCAATAGATTAATGAAGGAACCTAAAATTATTGCCAGCTCAACCGTAAAGGACATTGAAAGTCGGCGATGAGGGGACATGGAGTCTAAAATCCCCAGAAAATTTGAATCTCACACATCATTGCGTGTGTCTAAGAAAATCGTAGTAAATGAAATACTGAAAGCTACTGTGTTAGTGAAATATGTCGTGATATATATTTTTTGAAAATAAAGTTTGTGTAGATCAAATCGTAAGGTGAAGTTTATGAAAAAACATGAAAAATCGGCGATAGGGGTCAGTAGAAGACTAAAGTTATGATGTGATCTGATTTGACAAAATGATTTTTTTTGGTAGTTAAATAAAGAGCAAAAAATTCTGAAATATACTTCAAAATTATCCTGAAAATAGCCAAAAATTATGACCTTCAAATAAATATAAAAATTCAAAGTGGTTCTGCTAGCTTAAAAAGGGTGATGGTTGCTATCGGAAGATTTTTGTTCACATTTCAATATATATCTACTTTTGGAATATCATTTTGAGAAATCAGTACTATGAAGAAACAACTAAATATCGTTACCGTTGAAAGTTAGTTGTCTGTCTGAAAGCTATAAACTGAAAATCAATCGAACGGATTTTCATACCGGTTCTACCAATGCACTGAGCGATTCGAAAACTAGGTTTATGTGAATGATAATTCAATGTTTTCGTGAATTGATTAAAATATGAAAAAGTTATAGAGGTTGGGGCATAGGGCTGCCGTGCGAAAACGATGCCTAATCCCTGGCTTCGAATGGTCCACAATGTACCAGAACATTCCACAGCATTTTTTCACAATGAATTGTACTGTTCCATAATATGCCCGGTACGTTTCTAAATATTATGGAATGCTCTCGATTACTCAATTGTTCGAGAAATTTCTAGAGAGCGAAACTTTCAGCACTCATATCTTAAAGCACGCCGTTCAGGAAGAACGGTAATTTTCTTCACGGAAAACTAATTTGACACTATGATAAAAAAGTGCAGTACACAGAAATACTAGCAACCCAGATCGAGTTACATGTATTTCCAAACAATGTTACACGATCTCATTATAACTATCAATGCACTATGGATATTTGCAAAAAATTGTTAGACATGGTGTTACATTCCTTAGACCACACTCCAATTTACAATTTCTAAGTACGGATCTGTATTTATCGTATTGTTTCATACTTCATCATTCAATAACCTTAGGTGTATATTTCAAAATTTTTTGTAGATCCAATTCAGGTACCATGGCTCCAAGTATACTACTGCGATTTGCAGATATGCTTAGTCAAATGCTTTCGGTAAAGGCGAGGTCATTAAGGTGCTGTCATCAGTATACCCTAATCTTGAAGTGATCGGTTCTAGAGAAATCGCTGACATACAAACTATAGAGAGAGGGGACTCTCTGTAGCACTTCTGCCTCTATGTCTCTTTTTGGAAAGCGTATTCCGTCCAATGTTACTATAAAAGTTCGTTTTTTTTTCACTTAATTGAACCCAACGGGAGATTGAAGCGCAGATGATTGAACAAAGGTCCTTCGTGTCATACACGGTCGAAGGCTTTGGAGATATCTAACAGAAAGATTTATATATGTCTTGTTTTGTCATCTAGCATTTTAAATTTATCTGAGAGTTTGTTCGCCTCCGGAAGTGAATGTCTCGAGAATCTTCCCCACACGGTTACTGTGTGCAGAAGCTAGAATCTTTTCCGTCCACCCCCACTCGTTACCGAGTGGTCCTCAACCTGTCGCTTGGCGGTATTATCTAACCTCTTATGTTAGAAGTCGGCATCTGGTGCTTATTCTTCCATTTTATCTTATGCTTATTATACCTGTCTCATATTTGTGTAGTGTGTGAATGGTGGTATTCTGTACCTACCTGGAGACGACTGTGAGTCTGATGTTCACTCGGAGGTGGCCTCATGTGCGTCGTCGGCCTCATGTGCTTGTCCCTATCACTGAATCTGGGGTGTCCCTGATCAGTGCATTGTGGAGATCATGCGGAGCTGGATTAGGGTGTATTCGAATTTGCTCATAGATGTTCTCGGCGTGGTTTCTCACAGGTACATCCACGTACTATATGCAAAGATTTAGGTCCCGGTAGATAGAGCGGTTGTGTGTCTGGGAGCAATAACGGCCGTAAGTAGACGTTCATAAACTTTTGGATCTGGAGTCTGTATGTTACAGGATGATGAGGAGTAGAATTATCCTGATTAGGAGCGATTTCACTTGAAGATCCATGTTACTTCTGCGACCGATGATGAGGTAGTGTTGTGTCGAGCGGCTTTCACCAGCCACAGCCTTGTGTGATATGGAACCTGAATATTAGTTTCCTATCAAGGGTGACTTCTAGGTATCTCCCAGAAATATCATTCTGAGGGCTTGGCAAATGCATGAACTTTCAAATAGTTTCTTGGCGTCCCTCGTATGGTTATTTCATGTTTTAATGAAATTTTCTGTTTCAAATTCTCAATTTCCTAAAATCTAACACGTGGGAACTGGCGGCAGGCCTTCGGTGGTTTTCGTGGTTTCTGTGTTTATGAATTTTGATCGCTTCTTTTTGTAGTATACCGAGTACTTGGGTCTCTTCGAATGCGATAACGTGGGTGTTATAACTGTTTATATGTCAGTATGCCCGAGGCGACAGTTGCTCTTATGTTCGAAGGGTCTGATGATCAGGCTTCCTTTCGTAGTTCCAATGTAGACCGAGCTATTAGAAATTCTATATACCACCTGTATTGCTGAAGGACCTCCGAGGTCTTTCTCATCCATTTTTTCCATTTCAACTCCAAGCTAATCAAAAGTCAACCCTTTTAAATTTTTTGTATGTTGTCAGTTTTTATGTGCTTCTCTTTGTTTTCTGCTCGTATGTTCTTATTCTACCTCATTTCAAATTAACCTGTCTATAACGTTGAATTTTCAACTATAAAAAGTTATTAAAACTATTGTGTCAACATTCAAATCTTCGTACATTCAACAAAAACACTTCCTAGAGGAGATGAACAAAACACTGCCTCCCGACGCGGTTTCCGCTAACCAAGTTAGTATTTCTGAAATTGGTCTATTTATACTTACACACTATTACTTCGTTTAATGGGGATCATCGACTGAAGTTCAATGAATGAATTCCTATTGTTGTGTTGATTTGATATAATATATTAATTGCTAATTTATGTATTAGTGACTACTTGTTTACCCAATATTTATCTGGTTACTATTTCCAATCAACATGTAAGAGGTGAACAACGGTCCATATGGAATATGACCTTCATCGGAGTTCCTAGATCTGATTCCACATTTTCCGATTTCTAAACTTTGAAAGGTATCTAAAAAACGTTGTCATGTATTGATTTTAATAATTCCAAACATTTTCGACTTATTCTGCTTAGAGAATATTCTACGAAATTGAATATGTGAAATGTGTTTCTTCAAAAGTGTTATTATACTTCGCTTAGTCTGGCCAATATTCTTTTTCGAAAATCCCAGACAGCTCATTTCGTAAACTCCAGATTTCCGTCACTCTGGCTATCGAGGGACTCAACTGTGTACGAGCAGTTTTGAAAGCCACTTTTTACCTAATTTTGACCAATTAATTGTTGTATTTTGGTCCATGAGGAAAAACTGTAAACTGTGAATCGAAGTCGCACATTACCAAATGTCTCACCGAGTGAACTGAGATAAGCAGGCTTCAAAACAAAACATGTATTGTACGTTGAATCTGTCAGTATACTGTAATTTCATTCTCTTATCATTGTTGCAGATGATTTTGTTTACTGAAACCAATATTGACATCATTAATAAAATATGTTACTTGATTTTCTAAACTAAAACTGTTTCTACAGGCCAGTTGGTAGTTCACCGCCAGTAGTTATCGTGGAAAATACCGATTCAAACGAAGAAAGCAATAAGGTGTCGCCGAAAAGCGGTGTTGTGGATAAGGAAGGTGAGTACATTCTCAATTATTCATTGAAAACGCAATGAGTTGAAGAGTGATGAGTGTGAAAGTAAGGGTTCAATTTATTCCAGTTTCATAACATACATGAAAATTTAAGGAGTGGAGCTTTGAGGAGTGCGAATGAAACCCACTGAAAAATCCAATTCTGTTTCATAACAAGCTTCCACTCGTGAACTCATCAAAAATATGTTTGGAGTTGATTGAGAATCCTCAGATCTACAAAATTGATTGTTTCGAATCATAAAATTTAGTAATTAGTGAAATGCAGTGTTTTCAAATGAATTTTCTTCAGATCACCGTTCTTGGATCCAATGATCACTCATTTCACAGTCAGCGGTCATTTCCCGAGACATTGCCATAAAACCATTGTTTCTAATTTCATCCTGACTTCGTAACACCGCAATGAGGACTACCATAAGACCTCAAAGGTCTATTTCAGAGCCAAGAAACTTCATCAATAAGTTTGTTACAATGAAACTTCTATAGGAATAAATATCTTCTAATATATAAAAATGGATGTTTGTTGGTTGGTTGCTTGGTTGGCTGGTTGGTAAGTGATAAACTTCTACATCGCTCAACCGATCGTGATGACATGTATGAGTAATTTTTCATAGAGAAGGTTTTCAGGCTATCAGTTTTTCTGTAACTCGCCACTAGATGGCGCTGTAGAACAATTATTTGAAAGCACTGTTCTATAACGCTGCGCACGCCTAAGTTCGTTGATTCTGATTCTGTCAAAACATTGGAAGAGCAGCAATACAGCAACATAGTACTAATTAGTACTACAACTACCAAATTCTATGCGGGCGAAGCCGCGGGCAACAAATAGTAATATATGAAAATGGATGTTTGTTGGTTGTTTGGTTGGTAAATGATAAACTTCTACATCGCTCAACCGATCGTGATGAAGCTTGACATGTGTAAGTAATTTTTCACAGAGAAGGTTTTAAGGCTATCAATTTTTCTATAACTCGCTACTAGATGGCGCTGTAGAACAATTTTTGAAAGCACTGTTCTATAACGCTGCGCACGCCTAAGTTCGTTGATTCTGATTCTGTCAAAACATTGGAACAGCAGCGATACAGCAACATAGTACTAGTATGTTATNACGCAGCTCAGAATGGCGGATTACATATTATTTCACAACTACCTCAGTATGGGTATGAAATGACAGCCTTTGACTAGTAGAATAGTATTACACTTTGAAAACGATGCAAATTCAAGATGGCCGCAGCTACAAAATGGCGAATTACATAATACCTTGCAATACTGAGGCACTAAATGAACTAAACTAAATGAGAAGAAACTGAAAATGAATCATAATGTTAGCCCTTATATATCTACTGTAGGTAAGAATAGAGGTGCTTAACTTGAATGAGTACCTAAGAATTCCAAATAATTGAGTTTTCAATCTTTCCTTGCATAATGCAAAATTTCTGTATCGTTTCGATACGGGAACTTTTGGTTGAATTCCATTTTTACCTAGTCTGAAGAACCTTGCCTGTTCAGCATACCGTTTTGAGAAATTTCGACCACATTGTACCACATAAACACTATCACCCACCAGACTCTCAAGCTTATAACTTTCAGATTTCTCCATCTTGTCCACCTTATCTTCGCCATCAACAAGGAAATTAGATAACCTAGTATGTGGTATGAATGCCACTTCCACATTGTTTTTTCTAAAAAAACTCGCAATTGTGTGTGTGTTCCTTGAACAAGTTACAAATTTCTTGATTTCTGGTTATTTGACTCCCAGATCAAACAACCAATGTCCCACTGGAAGACTCTCTGAGGTGGCTAGCTTACTTGTTTCCGAGTGATATCATCGGACTCTTCAGAGCTTGTTTCACGGAAAGTTACTTTCAATGGAGGGGAAACTTCTATGAGCAACTAGATGGCGTAGTGATAGCCAATTATTTAATGGAACGTTTTGAAGAGAAAGTAATTAACACCTTTGAATTAAAACCGACCTTTTGGTTACGTTACGTGGATGACACTTTCGTCATCTGGAAACATAGAAGGGACACTCTGCACCTTTTTCTAGACCATATGAACGCTCAATACCTAAGACTGAACAGGAGTAGCGGATAGCATTCTTAGATGTACTGATCGAACGATGCGGTGTTAGGCTAACTCACAAAGTGTATCAAGAACATACACAGACGGATAGGTACGTGCATACACTATCGAACCACCATCCTAATCGAAAGAAAGGAGTCATCTTCACTCTGACGGAACGAGCTCGAAGAATATGTGGACCAGAGCATCTAGAAGAAGAACTGGAACAGGTGACCTTGAGATCAAATGGTTACAGTGTACACGAGATTAACAAAGCCATAAAACTGAAGAGTTCTACGGATCAAAATAAAGAGAAGGCTCACAATTGTGAAACTCTTGGGAAACACAACATTGAAATAGTTTTCAAACCCATCAAGAAGATTCAGTTAAACCTCAGGTCGGCTAAAGTCGGCTAAAGACAAAAGGGATCTAGTACCAGCAGCAGGGGTTTATTAGATACCATGCACTTGTGGGAAGGCATACATCGGAACCACCAAAAGTTCCATGGAAACACGACTGAAGGATCATGGAAGAAACTGCCAGGATTCTTTTTGAAAACGCGGAACTCATTGCCCCTGACTAGGGATCCTCTAGCCGACTGGTACGGGAGGCAATAGAAATCCACAAACCCACGGATGATTTCAACAGAAAAGAAGATGCTATGAACCTCAATCGAATATGGAATCCCATTCTAAGAAGTTCAAGAATAGCAAAGATCATGACGGCAGGTAAAAAAAGATCAATTAACGTTATTGACAATTTACCAAATCCAGGTATAGTAATTATCACACCAGTCTAGTTGAATCAACATAAACACGCTCTACGTAAATAAATTAATCCAGGTACAGGTGTTAGTACACCAAACTACCTGAGGAGTTAACATTAATACTAGTTACGCAGCCGTAATATCCAGTCATCGGAGATATTAACTCAAGATGTATAAACCTCTGAGGAAGCTAACTACTCGCGCAGGCGAAACGTCAGGAAGAAATTCCAAAAATCCACGGAAAACCCGGAAAATAGTGACGGCCGGGAAAGCCTTCACCATTGTGTCATTTTCCTGAATGTTTGAGACTTTTCTGGAACATTCCATCACATTCCAGAATAATTCGGAAAGCTCTTGAATGTTATGGCATGATTTCGAATACTGTTCTAGAACTGAAGGGAGAATATTTCAGCCCTTTATATCTTCATAATTAAATCCTTCAGATGAAAAAGGAACGTTGTTCATAGACAAGCTGATGTGACGATATTACAGAAAAAAACTTTCTGCTACTCTTGCGAAACTGCTTCGGGGCACAGTATTTCTATAAATGATCTATGAACAATATCTAATGCCTTTATCAATATCAGAAGAGAGAGGGTTGATTTCCAAAATTCATTAGAATTGTTTTTACTTCATTCTCAAAGTTAGGTATTAAATGCATCAATTCATTGGTTTTGGGAAAGCATATTTTGTCTTCTATCACTTCTTATGTGTATTGAAATATATTTCACGAATCTATTTAAAACCGTAATGTTTGTATCAGTATGCATCGATTTCCCTTGAATATTTTTTTTATCATTCATTAGTTTCCAAAATGTTTTTTTGAGACTAATGTTTGAGCATGGAAATGTTGGTTTTATGAAATAATTTCTGTAGTGAAATATTTTTGGCGTTTAGGGAGTTCGGACCTGAAAAACAGCCATCCATTCAGCTCTTTATGATCTCGGATTTGCTTATCGCTTTGAAACTTCTGCGAAAACTCTTTGTAGATTACCCAATTGTCAAACTCATCAAACAAGGATTTGATGATCTGCAAGTACTAAACAAAAAGATCGTTCTGATATGCACCACCAAATGTCTGTACTTGCATTTGTCCCGCTGATCTGAAGACTCATTTCAGAAGCAAGACCTGTAGTATGTGGAATGTCGTAGGACAATATTTACAGTCGAAAAATTAAGAAAATGAACCCTTATATTGTTCCTTGGGAGTACGAAAATTTGAATCGAAGAACACGTGTCGCGGTTTTTGTAAAACCCATTATAGTGAAAATCATACAATAAACTGTATTGATTAGTTTCTAAATTCGAGTGCTACACTGAAAAATTAAGAATGAACACGTTGTCATCTTCGAAATTTAAACTTCAAGGTCAACAACCAATGTTTATTAATGCTAAGACTGAGAACGAAGATACCCTGAAATCAATTTGTATTATTACATTAGAAATCGCGAAGAGATCAAAACATTTTACTGATAGTGATTTTATTAAAGACTGTATGTTGAAAATTCATTTCCAGTTCAGAAGTCAATAATTCAAAATATTTCGCTGTCAACAAACACTGTTGCTTCAAGGATAAATGATTCATCTCAAAATTTGGTTCATCAACTGAAGAAGAAAATTAAGGAATATACAAACTTTTCAGTGGTTGTTGACAAGAGCAATGATACTGTTGATACAGCTCAACGAGGTATTAGCAGTAACTTGAAATAACTGAAGAACTATTGGAGTGCGTTTCATTGACAGGTAATACAACAGCAAGTGATATTCATTCTGCAATTGAACATTTGATAGCAGAATATAAACTCGACTTTATTAAACTTAGCAGCCCAACTACGGATGGCGCTCCTGCCATGGCTGGCAAACATTCGGGCGTTGTAAATAAATTAAAACATAAAATATCAGGGAATTTTGTGGGATTTCACTGAATAATTCATCAGGAATCACTGGCATCCAAATATTTTAAAAATGGACCGTGTCATGCAACCTATAATTAAAATAGTGAATTTTATAAGGAGCAGAGGACTAAATCATCGACAGTTGAGGCAGTTTTTACAAGATTAGGACGAAAATTTTTCTGATGTCCCTTTTTCATCGAAGTTCGTTGGCTTAATCGAAGAGTAGTTTTAGAAAGATTTTTGCATTACGTTATCCTATTCAAGCGTTTATGTTAGAAAAAGAACCCAATTAATTATGACAATGACTCGTGGGTTGATTGTGTCTTTCTGGTAGATATGAATAAACACCTGACTTATCTGAACATTAAGTTACAGGGTAAAAATCTGATTGTCATTCAAATGTATTCATGTATTCAAGCCTTTGAAACAAAGTTGAGGCTGTGGAAAGTCATGTAAAAAATCAAACTTTGGATCATTTTCCTCATTTAAAATCATTTGGCACAGTGAACCAAAATGAACATCTCCAATCGATTCTTGAAATAATTACAGTAAATATGATACCTGATATCAAGGAGCTTGTCAAAAATAAGAGAAGTCAGATATCTGAATCCTTGAGCTCAAAATAATTACCCTCTTTTATAACTTTGGTATGATTTTAACAGACGTATATCATATACTTCATAAATGAATGAAAATTTTTTCATTTGAATCGCCCACCTACATATTCTTAATTTAATATATGTCCCTTTGCAGAGTTGAGTTCGACACCACTGATTTTATTCATCGTTATCTGGTTGATGTTCACGCATCCACTTCATTATATCCATGTCTTTCAATTATATAGTTGAAAATATCTTATTGGGAATTCAATTATGTATTGTTGTTCAGGAAAAGTCAATATTGATCTTGGGAAATAAAATCTACTACAAATTGTTTTTCTTCTAATCGCTTCGTACTTTTTTAATTATTACCGGTTTGCAGTTTCTGTTACATATTTAAAGAGTATTTATAATAGGAGCTGAAATATTAAAATGCCAAGGTCTATGCCATTTTTAAAAGTTTCTGTACTTGTTTGACATTTGCAAATGATGAGCATTTTATAATACTCACTGGGTGATAACATGAACAAAATGTTCTGTAACATTCGTTACAAATCTTTACTGTATCTCATTCTGCTCTACAGTTTATTTCTTTGTTTTTGTACATGTATGAAACAGTATTTTCTACTTCTCATTTATCAAACATAACTTGCGTGTTTCTAGCTTTTCACTGATACGGAATGTTCAAATATGTAATTTCTATTCCTAACCATGCTAGGAATCTAACCTAATCTAACCTAACCTAATCTAACCGTGTTAGGAATCACACCTTGAAAGGTAAGACCTCGTTAGTCCTTAGCTCGTTAGTTTCGACTTCTAAGGGTTGTCGTTCGTAGGGGTGCGACAGCTGGTTAACGGAAAAACATATTTGTTTAAACAGAGTATTCAATTTTTTAAATATTGATTTATAAGACCAATATGACTTCTTAAATTATGTATATTATTAGAAAGATATTGTCAGGTAGTGAGTCATTAAGATTCAAATCCATGATTTGTAAAACCACGGTGTAGAAATTGTTGGTTGGTATTGAACACGCCTAAAGAAGTTATTCCATAGAGAAACACGTGTTACGGTGTTGTAAACTGTTTAGTGAAAATCTCACAATTAAGTGTTATTTGAAAACGTAAAAGTGATTTTATGAAGAAATTATCATTAGGTGTATGTTCCCAGTACACTTTAAAATATAATTCATAAAGATTGTTGAAATATTTGAGGGTTGTTGTATTGAATTTTTGCGAATTATTCGGATAATCCGATTGAAAATTCTGATTCATTATTATGGGTGCCACAGATTATGAGTTTTGAGATCGCCATGAGGAAACCACTACATTTAATTAGTTTGAGCACTCTCTTTCAGTCACATCTGCTGACCTCGATTGCAAAATAGACTCAGAGTATCTTTCTTCAAAGTTGCGTTGTTTTGAAAGGAGTTTTCCAACTGGATACTTTTCTCACAGCTTAATGTTATACAGATTTAATTTCTTGATTCTGCCACACAAATTTTTATAATATTGAACATGACTCTCGTTACAGTTTTCGTTTTCCCTTCCAGTCACCGATAACGCTACCTAAATCAAAAGCTAGATAGAAAAATGTATCCGAACCGTTATTCCAGAAAACTTCTATAAGTATCTATTCTAAGAGACTAACAGAGTATTGAACTATTCATATTTTGTTAAATTTAATTCTACTTCTCGTATATTTCGGAAGATGTTGATAACGTCCATGAAACGGCTATGAAAAACTTTCTGAAGGGTATTCATTTTTTGGTTCTAACAATTGTTTCATACGGAGACTGTTTCTTAAACCCTTTTTTTGTGAAAATGCATGTAGACGCTACTGAGACACATTTTCGATAAACACCAGTAAACAGACCAATTGTGTTACTACCAATAATGACAGTCCACACGTTTACAGAAAACTGCTGTTGATAATAAATTCCTACATACCAAAAATAATTATCATGAAAGTTCATTAGAGTATTTTGTGAAATCTTGACTCCTTTCTTAAAGATGACGTGACGTCGAAACTATGGATTTGATACTGGTTTCTGGAGATACCACTGGCAGAAGTTAATCCGCGTCGGAAGTTTACGAAGAAGGACTCTTCAAATATGATGAGGATTAAGTAGATCATCTAATAAGATCCTCAAAGAACTTAGTGATCAACTTTTAGGTTGCGAGTTATATTTCTAGAACTAGTTTCTGGATTTTCTCATACAAAACTGCTTTCGATTATGATTTCTATACACAAATAACACGATGGCCGGTTTGCTCAACCCCCACATCCCAAGCCAATGCACTCGCCGAAAACAGCATGTACAGTGGTTCAGGCAGTGAAAGATGAACAAGGACAGCCAACCCGCCAGATGGCCATACCTATTTCTGGGTCTTCTTACCCACACCCTTGCCTTTTTGTGCCATTCATGTTTTTTTTCAATGCCCATTTTTTTTGGCCGTTAGAATGGCACACATCTGTATTCTGTGCAGTTATGTAGGAATATTTCAGAGTAAAATTCCAAATATTCCCTTTCCTAACGTATCTACCTAGATAGTATCGTAGGATACGATATACCTATCGGAAAACAACTACTTTCCCGGCTCATACCACGACATTTAATTATTTAATTATATCAGAAAGACATTTTTGCATTTTTTCTCAAAGAGAAAAGTCTGCTTCTCGTTTGTCAAGCAGCATTTGAAAATTAAATAAATTTCGGTTCAGCGACAGGAATATAAATCTACGCCAATGACTATGTGGTAACCTTGTGAATTCATTTACATACACACCTATGTCAAAATTCTTGTATTCCATTATTTTCATAAAATAAATATATTCAGATGGGTTGTCATTTTTCATTGTTTTTGCACTCAGGTCTTAGCCTGCATTTGTGATGAGAATATTTTAGTATGAGGAATGAGTCATCATGAGGTAATTTGTTGCGATTTTTACACGCATGTAACAGCGCGTAACAGTGAATGAATTTTGAATACCGATACGGTCGATGTTTTGTCAAATACATGAATTTTAAATACCATTTCCGTGAGGTATTTAGATCGCGTGAAATGTATGTTTTTTAACGGTAAGATGGATACATAGTGAGTCAAAAACTATAGCTCCATTCTCGTTTCTGAATAGGTATTCTGCTAACATTTTTTTTTATGCGACCTCAAGATGCTTTCGATTGTCTTTCCGTTTGTCTTTCTAACTGCCTATATGTGTCTGTCTATCTATCTTTCTGCCCGTCTGTTTGTCCGTTTATCTAAAAATAATTTTTTTGTCAACTTTGTGTGAAACACACTCATTCATCTCAGTTTCTCCGTGCTGGTAAGTCCTAGGCAGCTAGGACTATAGGTGCTTTTTAGGTGTTAAATGCACACTAAGAAAGGACTTTCAAATATTCCATCTGGGGTCCCCCCACCGTGGGAGTAAAAGGGGAGCGATAACATATGAAAGATACCTTTTCATCACTGTTTCTCCGTACCGCTATATTTTCTGAGGCTGAAATTTTGTATGTGGGTTTGTTTTATGTTGAAGATGTGCATTAAAAAAGAATTTTTGAATATTCCTACTGGAGCTTTCCCCTGGAGATAAAAGGGTCGCGTTTACATATGAACATCAATTTTTCCTAACTGTTTCTCCGTACCGCTATATTTTCGGAAGCTGAAATGTTGTATGAAGGTTCCTTTTATGCTGTAGATGGGCAATAGGAAAGAATTTTTGAATATTTCACTGGGGCGCCAGCCGCGGGACAAAAAAGCGTCCATAAAACAAAATCATCTTTCTATCACTGTTTCTCCATGCCCCTAAATTTCCGGTGGGTGGATCTATATTCAGTATCAGCATTACACTCGTGCGAAGCCGGGGCGGATTGCTAGTGCTATACTGGTCGTCAACACTATCATTGTGAAAGGCGCTCTTCAATTTTTTATTAGGTTATAAATTTGATATTTGAAGAAAATTCAACAATAAACCAATTGAATAGATTTTTCATTTCAACAGGAAATGCACCCCAGTCTGAAATATTGAAAAAAAAACTATATATTTCGTTGAAATGAAATTCCATTATCAACTACCACAACTGTCATTTTTATTCAAATTGGCAGTGTTCAATAATGAAATGTAAAATCAAGCAATTCAAAAAATAAATGAGAAATTATGCTCAGTAGACTCGAATCATTGGAAATATGTTAGTCATCACCTGACAATGATTGCTGATCGAAACGTCGTCAAGTAACTTAATTTGAAACCCTTTTCGTTTTTTTTTTTTTCAAAATGAGACACCGTAAAAAACAATTGATTTTTAATTATTCCATTACTATCGCTCTCTAATCTAAAAATATGCATTTTCAAAAAGCTATATTTAATCTGTATCATTATTTTTGATTTTTCCTGTATATTCACGTCAAGTAGTGCCATTAACGACGCCACGATTGGCAACCATGAGCAATGAGCAGTCTCTAAATTAAGGCGGTTCATGAATTTATTTCGAGGAGAAGGCCGGTGTCGGAAAGATTCTCGAGTTGTGTGTTGAGAATCTTGTGGCATCATCAACAAAACGCCATTTCTATTGTGAAGATCGGTGTGGTGTTAGATTCCTGATTCACTTCAAATGTCCTACGCCGTATACCGTTACTTTGAGGACAGAGAATTTTGACCTCGAAAAGTGACTTGAAACTTTTTATATTCTCTCAAAGAACCTCACTATCATAGGTATCTAAGATTTTCGTATTAAGGTTAGTAATTTCATTCGTTATATTTTCATAATTTCCTTGGGTGTCTTGAAATTTTGGGCAAATCATAACCCTGAACCACTGTTCAATGAGGTATAATTACATTAATCATCTACATCGCATAAATCGTTCCTCACTTTTTTACTTTCTTAGTTAACCCAACCTCACATGCATATAACTTACATTATTATTGTTTATTATTGTCTATAGTATTATTGCTCTCCGATAACGATGAACAGCTGCCGTTGCAGGTAGGTACCTTAATGGTTTTTATTAAAAATATTTGAAAGTAAAAAATGATAAGATAGCGAAACAAACATCATTAGTTGACAAGCTTCAATCTCTTTATTTATATTGACAAAAAATTTAAAAAAAAAATACAATAGGCAAAACTACAAAATTTAAAAAAATCAGAACTTATACCTTTATCGAACTAGTGGTAAAACTGAAAAACGTGAAAATTCTGTGCATAAGGGCGACAACTTTCAATATATGATGGAATTGGCCGATACTCGATGAAAATCCATTACTAAAATATTCATAAAACACCTTATTGTTGA